CCATCCCTATTGTGGCCAGAAAGAGTCCCTGTGTGTTTTAAGATTCGCCTCCCCATTGAAGTCAGTGGCGTTTCGGGCGGTTCGCCGGTTCGCGAACATTTGCGGAAGTTCGCGTTCGCCGTTCGCGAACCGAAAATTTCGGGTTCGCGACATCACTAATGGTAAGTGGAAAAAAAAGACAATTCAATGCCCAACTGCTTAATTTTAGTACATCAATTCTAAAAAAACAAAAAAATGAAAGTGTAGGTACACTTGAACAGAGTTGGGTTTATTAGCTAATGAAGACCAGGAAAAAGCAGAAATTTTAAATAACTATTTTTCTTCAGTATATATTAATGAGGATCCTATGGCAAGAGATATGCAAATGATTGCTGCAAAAAACTTGCAAATAACTTGTGATTGGATAACTCGAGACAAGGTGCTACAACTATTAAAGAAAATTAATGTAAATAAAGCTCCGGGGCCTGACGGTATTCACCCACGAGTACTTAAGGAGCTAAGTGGGGAAATAAGTGAACCTCTGTATTTAATTTTTCAAGATTCTTTTGTTTCAGGTGTTGTACCGGAGGATTGGAGGAAGGCAGATGTTGTTCCTATATTTAAAAAGGGTTCAAAATCCTTGCCTGGAAATTATAGACCTGTGAGCTTAACTTCTGTAAATGGTAAAATATTTGAAGGGCTATTAAGGGATAATATTCAGGAATTCAGTGGGAAGAACTGTGTTATTAGCAATAATCAGCATAGTTTTATGAAACATAGGTCATGTCAAACTAACCTAATTGCATTCTACGAAGAAGTAAGTAGAGTATAGATCAGGGTGTTGCAGTTGATGTGATCTACTTGGATTTTGCCAAGGCATTTGATACGGTTCCTCACAATAGGTTAGTCTTCAAACTAAAAGAAATTGGTCTAGATGAATATTCTTGTTCTTGGGTAGAACATTGGCTTAAGGATAGAGTACAACGAGTTGTAATTAATGGTAAATTTTCAGGCTGGACAAAAGTGGTAAGTGGTGTCCCACAGGATTCTGTTTTGGGACCACTTCTATTTAACATATTTATAAATTATCTTGAAATAGGCATTGAAAGCCATGTATCAGTGTTTGCAGATGACACAAAACTTTTTAAAGTAATAAAATGTGAGCAGGATATTGCTTTGCTGCAGAGAGATTTGTATAGATTGGGGGACTGGGCACTAAAATGGCAGATGGAATTTAACATAGAGAAATGCAAAGTTATGCACTTCGGGGTTAAGAATGCACAAGCAACTTACACACTAAATGGTAGTGAATTAGGGATAACCACACACGAGAAGGATTTGGGAATTGTTATAGACAACAAATTAGGCAGCAATATACAATGTCAATCTGCAGTTGCTAAGGCCAGTAAGATTTTGTCATGTATAAATAGGGGCATAAATTCTTGGGATGAAAATATAATTTTGCCTCTTTATAAATCGCTGGTAAGACCACACCTTGAATATGCTGTGCAATTTTGGGCGCCTGTTCTAAAGAAGAATATCATGGCACTGGAGAGGGTCCAGAGACGAGCTACAAAATTGATAAAAGGAATGGAGCATTTTAGTTATGAAGAAAGGTTAAAAAAATTAAATCTGTTTAGTTTGGAAAAACGGCGCCTGAGAGAGGATATGATAACTTTATACAAATATATTCGAGGACAGTACAAACCTTTATCTGGAAATCTATTCATAAACAGGGCATAGGATAGGACACAAGGTCACACATTTAGGCTGGAAGAAAGGAGATTTCATCTAAGGCAAAGAAAAGTTTTTTTTACAGTAAGAACAATAAGGATATGGAATTCTCTGCCTGAAGAGGTGGTTTTGTCAGAGTCCATACAGATGTTTAAACTGAAATTGGATAAATACTTACAAAAACTTAACATACAAGGATATCATTTCTAATTAGTGGGGTAAAAGCTGCTTGATCCAAGGAGACATCTGACTGCTATTTTGGGGTCAAGAAGGAATTTTTTCCTAGTTTGTGGCAAAATTGGAAGCGCTTCAGACCAGGTTTTTTGCCTTCTTTTGGATCAACAGCAACAACATTTGTGAGAAAGGCTGAACTTGATGGACGCAAGTCTCTTTTCAGCTATGTAACTATGTAACTATGTAACTGGCATATGGAGACTGTGGATTACTATTCAGTTCGGGACATTGGAAGCATTCACCATACGAATGCTTGCTATCAAATAACAGGCCACCTTGATTCCTAATTATGACCCATTTATCTCCCTGCTCTATGGGGATTTTCGTACAAAGAAATGCTCGAACGCTATACGAACTGTATGGGTGGCCGCCATTTTGGGACTTCCACGTGTTCGCGGCCATTTTAACTCCCGAACAGCTGTGTTTTGCCGTCGAGTGTCTGGAACTAAAATCGGACACTCGAATAGGCGAACACCGCTGAGACCTCCATAACTTCAGGAAATCGTGCTACAACTACCGAACGACAGGGCGTTCGGTAGAAAGACTTAACAGCTTATGGGGATTCCAGCGAACGTGAGATTATATACGGATGGCCAGCCTTTCAGGACTTTTTACGCACGAACTAAGACCGACTGCAGGGCCAGGATTCATGGAACTGTTTTCGGCTATTTTGCCCGTGCGGTCGGTCAAAACTTTCAAGCCCCATTTCTCCCGAACGGCTGAATCGAATGGGCTGAATTTTGAATATATTTGCCCCCCAGAACAAAGCTATCTGGGGACACCGGATTTATGCTTGTACCCCAAGTATTTGTGGTACATCCAAACTTTGGGGAAAAATATGTTCATTTTAATTATGTTATGTGGTTATGTAAGGGGAGGAGATGTATGGAATGTATATTGTGTTTATTGGCTGTACTGTTAATTATGTTGGTGTCTCCCTTGCATGGGCAGAATCACATAAAAGAGAGTGTCTGTCATTAAAGTTATAGTTCTTCTTGACCCTTCAAAACGTAGCCTTGTCTCGTTCTTGAAAGGGGAATTTTGCAACATAATCACTAAGCTCTTTTCAGAGCTATACCTGACTTCTACCTTGGATTCAGCAGAGGGGAATAAGCAGCTCCATCACTATACAGCGACTTGCCGGGAAGAAAAGGATGTCCCCAACGGCTGATACCCTCACTCTAGCTGGGTAGCCGTTACAATGGCAACTTTTTAAGTGGAATAAAATGAGCCATCTTGGAGAAACTGTCAACCACCATAAGAATGGAGGTATAGCCATTGGAACCTGGAAGTTCAACAATGAATTCCATTGACAAGTGGGACCATGGAACACTAGGTACAGGAAGTGGTTGCAACAAACCACAAGGAAGCTTATGAGGGACTTTAGAAACAGCACAAACTGAACAAGCCTGCACATAGTCCTTCACATCGTTTTTAAGGGAATCCCACTAAAATGATCTTGTGATTGCAGTTAAGGATTTATTAATACCTGGGTGTCCAGCAGTCACATTGTCATGGAACACCCTCAGCACATTCTTTCTTTCACCTAATGGAACAAACAATTTGTCCAGTGGTTTATTGCATGGTGCCTGAGACTGAGCCTCCATTATAGCACCAAGCAAGGGCTAAGACAGTGAAAGAACAGTAGAAGCGATAATATATTCAGGAGGTACGATAGGGGATGTCTCATGTTCCTGTAAAGACTCAGTATCAAACTGTCCAGACAAGGCATCAGCCTTCACATTTTTGGGACCAGGTCTGTAAGTTATAAGTTAAAACGACCAGGTCTGTAAGTTATAAGTTAAAGCGAGACAGAAACAAAGACCATCTAGCATCCCCTATGTAAGCCAAATTCTTATGGTCCGTAATGATCAAAAGGGGATCCTTGGAATCTTCCAAAATATGTTGCCACTCTTTAAGCGCTAGGACAATGGCCAACAATTCTCTGTTGCCAATATCATAATTGCGTTCAGCGGGAGACAACTTTCTGGAAAAGTAACCACAAGGATGTCCTGACTCTCCCTTTGAGAAAGCACCGCCCCTACCCCTACTATATGAAGAGTTTGCTGGTGTCAGGGTGTCTTAGTATGTTGGCAGAAGTGAACCTTTGTTTAAGAAGTTCAAAAGCCTCTCTAGCTTCCTTAGACCATACCGTACTACTAGCCCCCTTACGTGTCATATTGGTGATGGGGGCTATTACAGAAGAAAACCCCTTGATAAATCTTCTGTAATAGTTCACAAACCCAATAAATCTTTGGATGGCTTTTAGTCTGCTAAGTACTGGCCACTGTATAACAGCCTCTAGTTTCTTAGGGTCCATCTGAAAACCAGAGGCAGAAATGTTATACCCCAAAAACTGTACTTTAGTCTGATCGAACAAGCATTTTTCCAATTTACAGTAAAGTTTGTTTTCCAGTACAGTCTGCAATACTTGTTTGACCTGTTTGTGTTGGGTTTGAAGTTGAGGGGAATAAATAAGGATATCATCCAAATAAACCAGGACAAATTAATAGATATAATCCCTGAGTACATTGTGACGAAGTGCCCTTCGCCACTTGTGCCTGGAGAGGACTGCTTGCCCGCCTCTTGCCCTGTGACTATGGACCCTGGGAGATGTGGCCCGTTCAATTCAGTATGTTAGGAGTTATGTATTTTTGTATCCTTTTGTGTTTTACTGGGAACATGTGCTCAATGGAGTCTGCTTCTATCCCTGGATAATTGGATTACTTTCCCAATTGTCTCCAGGCTAGAGGGCTCTGTAAAACCAGTTTGGGCCAGATATCCATGCTGCCAGCCAGGCCCCAAAAGATACTTTGCCAACTTCTGAACCCCTGGTCTGATTCATGCCATTTTTTGATATGTTGTTTCCCTGAATGGATTGATTGTGAATATATAATTTTTATGTGAATGTGATGTATATTTTAGAAGTTATGAATGCTGTAAAAACTGTATTATTTCTGGCCAGCAGATAATTAAGCTTTGTGTATTGTAGAAACTCAATTATCTAGCCTGGCCCAGAGGAGGAGTTTTGTGTTGCATAAATTGTGAGTTCTGTGTGCCAGTAAATCAGTCTTGTTCCAGCATTAAGCCTTGGCTCATGTTTGGGGGATTGGAGAAATACACCCTGGGGATTGCTATAATCACTATACTCCCCAGGGTATGATCACTAAGTTCTGCTAAGAGCTTGTTCCTGTTCCTGCTCTCTGGGGAAAGAGAGGTTCACCCACTGGAAGCTGGATCCTGGCCTTGGGTCCAAGGTTGGTGGAGACAGCAGAGACCCCGGCGCAGTTGCATCGCTGGAAGTGGGATCTGCAGTGCTGATGGTGTCGGTTGGAGTGCTTGGAGTTCTCAGCGAGCACTAGGAGCATCGATTGGCGGAGGTACTCAGTCGGAGTGCCAGCGGTCCGTCACATACATCATTAATAAAATCCTGGAATACGGTCGGTGCATTGCATAGCCCAAAAGGCATAACAAGGTACTCATAGTGCCCGCATCTAGTGTTAAATGCCGTTTTCCACTCATGATTTTCCTTGATACTTACCAAATTGTATGCACACCTGAGATCAGGTTTGGTAAAGATCTTAGCACCCTGGAGTCTATCAAACAATTCGGAAATGAGAGGAATTGGATAGGCATTCTTAACACTAATCTTATTTAATGCTCTGTAGTCAATGCATGGATGTAATTCTATAGTTACATAGTTACATAGCTGAAAAGAGACTTGCGTCCATCAAGTTCAGCCTACCTCACATTTGTTTTTTGCTGTTGATCCAAAAGAAGGCAAAAAAACCCAGTTTGAAGCACAATTTTGCAACAAGCTAGGAAAAAAATTCCTTCTTGACCCCAGAATGGCAGTCAGATTTATCCTTGGATCAAGCAGTTATTACCCTACATTGAAAGATTATATCCTTCAATATTCTGTTCTTGCAAGTATGCATCTAGTAGCCGTTTGAACATCTGTATGGACTCTGATAAAACCACTTCTTCAGGCAGAGAATTCCACATCCTGATTGTTCTTACAGTAAAAAAAACCTTTCCTTTGCCTTAGAAGAAATCTTCTTTCTTCCAGTCTAAACGCATGGCCTCGTGTCCTATGTAAAGTCCGGTTTGTGAATAGATTTCCACACAATGGTTTGTATTGGCCCCGAATATATTTGTATAATGTTATCATATCCCCTCTCAGGCGACGTTTTTCTAAACTAAATAGGTTTAAATTTGTTAACCTTTCTTCATAGCCGATATGTTCCATTCCTTTTATTAGTTTTGTAGTCCGCCTCTGCACTTTTTCTAGTGCCATAATTCTCCATCTTTCTTTTCTACAAAAAAAAGAAGCCTGCACCAACAGGTGAGGATGATTTCCGTATATGGCCCTTGTTTAGTGAGTCGTTGATATATTCTTCCATTATTTTACTCTCCTGTGTTGATAAGGCAAATACTGCCCCTTTAGGTGGCATGGCGCCGGGTAACAGATTTATGGAGCAGTCATATCACCTGTGAGGAGGTAAGATATTGGACTGACTCTTACTAAATACTTCCTTAACCTCCCGGTATTGTATGGGAACTTCAGGGGTTTGAGGTGTAGGAGTGGATAATTTAATGGTACCCACTCTCTTGGTGAGGTGTAACATACACTTCCCATTGCAATCCTTTCCCCATTCCAATATTTCCCCATTGGCCCAATCGATATGAGGGTTGTACTTACTAAGCCAAGGAAAGCCTAATATGATAGGGCAAGAAGGAGATGCAATAACTTGGAATATTATATCTTCCTTATGTAAGGCACCAATAGACATGCTAATGGGCAAGGTTTCATGGGTAATTAAGGGTTGAGAGAGTGGTCTCCTGTCAATAGCCTCAACGGCCAGAGGTGATATTCTCTCCTTGATAGGTATTGCATTCTTTTTAACAAAATGAACATCAATGAAATTTCCTGCTGCACCTGAGTCCATCAGGGCCCTGCGTGAAAAGTTATTTTTGTCAACTAGGGCATCACAAAACCAGGATACACCCCTGTGCTCCAGTCTACCTCGGAAGCCAAAGTGCGAGATTCTATGGCATACTCCGAGATAGACCGGTTCCCTTGTGTAATATGCATTAGGGCAGGGGAGGCGTCATCCTCCCTGCCTAATGGTTCAAATGTAAGTTTAAATTCCGCAAGTTCCTGGTAATTGTGTGCAATGCTCCTACTACTCTTCCCATAATGGATTGGCCCAAGCTAAAGCTTTACCTTTAAGTTGGTTCATCAGGTAACCAATTTTAGCTCTGTTAGTGGGAAAAGATCCCGGTGAGGTCTCAAAAAGATACTCAATTTGGTTAATGAATCCCCGTCATTCTTGAATATTACCATTGAAATGCAAGGGAGGAGATAGGGAGATAGTAGGTACCTTACGTACTACAGGAGGTACATTAGGCGGAGGTGACACAGTTGGAGAAGCCGCAGGTTGCAGATGCACTGTTTGAGTAAGGAGCGTACTGAAAGCCTGGGCAAACTGATCCATACGGTGATCATTCTCCACTAGCTTTCTCTCGCAAGCAGCTATGTGCTGACACAATTCTACAGGATCTATGGCTATGTCGTAATGTCAGGATTACTAGTTGATCCAGCATGTAGAATTGTGTCACACAGATGACTAATAGGTACCGTATTACCGGGCCTTAGAATGGCCGGACTTAACGTGCCAAAGAGTAGTCAGGATACTTGCTGAGGTCAGGGGATACAGAAAGAGACACAATTAGCCAGAAGTCAGGGATACCAGAAAACAGGGAAGTCAAAATCAAAGCCAAAGTCAAAAACCAAAAGAAACTTGAATCAGGAACGCGCTCTCGGACAACAACCACTAGGGAAACCACGACAGGGCACTGAGCAGGATGAGAACTGGGCCTAAATACCCCTCCTCTGGATCTGATAGGCTGTAATCGTCCTTGGACCCCAAAGGCAGTTACCAGGTTCCATTTGCATAATTGCTGCTCAGTACAAACCCTCTTGTGGATTTGATTGGTGCTCGGCACAACTTTTCCTGTCAGAACAGTAAATGTCATTAATCACATTTTTATATGCGGATGAATACGTGACACTCTGACATCCAGGACCGTGTGGGGGAGACCTCTCCTCCAGGAGAGCGTAACAGGAACAGCTCTTAGAAGAGCTAGTGATTAGCATCCATTGGAGTATACAGAGTATAGCAATCCCCAGTGTGATATAGCAGTACCCTACAACACGAGCCGAGGCTGCGAGTTGATGGTAATCAAGGTCTGAGGTTTATTGAGCAGCTTGCCTTTCTTTTATACAGATTTTCCCCACAAGATTGACGCCCAGGTGAACCTTGTGGGGCACAGAACACTGAATTGACAAACCAATAAAAATAGAGTCTTACATGCAGACACCCCCCTTCAATGTGACATGCAGACACCCCCCTTCAATCCCTCCCCTCTGCATGTGATACAATTAACAAAGACAATGGGCTAACTCAATTGGTTCTAATCAGAAAAAACAAACATTTATACAAACCCCAAAAAGTACCCCAAAATACAACATATCCCCACAAATTAAGATGGCCGCCACCACATGTTTGAATCTGTTCCAGTTAAAAGTCCAAGGGGCAGAAACAGTAGTTTTGAACATGGGTTATCACAGGGCCCATAGTCCCAGGGTAGGAGGTTGGCCAACAGGCCCCCCCAAAAACCAGTGGCGAAGTTGCTTTCGTCACACTATCTATCTATCTATATATCTATATATATCTATTTCTATCTATATCTATCCATCTATTTCTATCTATATCTATCTGTTTCTATATCTATCTATCTATCTATCTATCTATCTATCTATCTATCACTATCTATATCTATCTATTTCCATCTATTTCTATCTATATATTTCTATCTATCTATCTATCTATCTATCTATCTATTTCAATCCATCTATTTCTATATATATATCTGTTTCTATATCTATCTATCTATCTATCTATCTGTAACTGCACCCCCAGCTACTCCATACACCAATCTCCCGAACTGGAAACCACACGAATTCTCCAAACTCCCGAACCGGAACCATACGAATGCTGTAAACAGCTGAACAGGAAAAACCATATGAAATAGGTTTACACTCCTGGCAATCAAACTGTAGCAGCATACAATAAAGCCCCCACAAAGAAGGAGACGAGGCTCCGTGTTGAGGGTCAAGCAGTGATCTGTTTAATCTGGGCTACCTGCCCGGTATTTATGCAGGTTTCCCACCAGGTGGACACTCCTATAGGGAACCTGGTGGGACACAGGAGCACAAACTGGACAGTAACCAATCAGGACAGTTTAACCTTAACCACTACCACATGCACATTGTAATCCCTCCTCTCTATCCTGGAGGTAATTGGGAAGTAATCCAATTATCTCCAAGGACAGAGGCAAAACTCCATTAGCCACATGTTAGGAAAAATACCTAAAATTACACAGTGTTACAATTACTACATAAAACATATCCATTCAACATATTCCCAGATAGCTTAGATCTGAGCACACATTATTACAGAATGGCGCTCAGATCACATACATACAGTTCAATCACCATGGAGCCAAAGTCTTTCACATAGTCTTTCGTTATACAAATGGGCTCCGTGGCATAGCTATCTGGGGTATCACTGTTCACATAGGGAAAGTACCGAATGACCCGGCTTTCGTGTATTTGCAGGAGAAGGGAGGTCGGTGGCTCAGCAGTGTTCGTGCAATTAAGTATCCGTTTTGAGTTCCATGGTTGTGGAGCTGAACACTGCTGGTCGTTCGTGAGTTTAAGATGGCTGCTGTATTGTTATTTGAGACTATTTCGTCTGTTTATTCGCCAGTCCCCTGTTGCATTCCCTAAAAGACGAACAAACTACTGAATGGTGGGCCACCCAGCAGGGAAGTGTGCTGCTCATTAACCTTTTTGACCTTATTAACACTGCGGTTAACCGCAGCCACTTCCAAATCCAGAACGGTCGGCTGGGTGATGGTCGTCCATATGAACCGAATCCCCCAGTGGAAGTAATAACACAAGTAATAGCTGCGGTGGATGCTAACTGGTGCCAGAATCAGCAAAGAGGTGCTGCATTAGCATAGGTACCAGCCGTTCTGGTAGACAAAAGAAAGGTACATTTTGCAGCTTTTAAAAATTTTGTGGAAGCTGACGGAGAAATTCTTCCTGGCAGTCTCAGTCCTAGAGAAAGCCAGGTGGAGGGAGCCCTCATGCACCAATGCCTGTTGCTCACTGCATCGAAGTGGGGAACACAGCAGAAGAGCACTGGGGAGTTTTACCCTGTCCATTCAGCTGCCCGGGATAATCTGCAGCAACACAGACAGATTGTCCTGGTTAATGGGAAAGCAGCCAGTGGGCTAAGAGACACTGGAGCTACTCTGACCCTGCTATAATGCAATTTTATTCCAGAGAGCGAGCACACGGGGCACACTGTAGCAGTTAGAGTAGCTGGAGGAGCCATCTACCGTCTACCCACTGCCCGCGTTCACCTGGATTGGGGAGTTGGTGCGGGACAAGTGAATGTTGGTATCATGAAGGAGTTACCGGCTGATGTCTAATTGAGGAATGATTTGGCCCCCCTTGTTTCTGCATACGCTCTGCAGGACACAGCGGAGGCTAACCCTGTGACCACCCATGCCCAGACCTGTGCTGCTGGAACCGGTCCACCTGTCGTGGAGGCCCAGGTATCCTGACTATTACCCTAGAACAGGTCCCCCTAGGCTGGGATACCCCAGAGGCATTTGGGAAAGAGACAGGGGGGGGGTCTGACTCTGCAGAAATATAGGGCCAAGGCAGACACCCAGGAGAGGGGAGCAGATGGGGAACTCTATGAGTGGGTGGAGGATAGGCTATACAGGATCCCCCAGAAATCTACAGCAGGTAAGATCCCTTCACAGAAGAAACAGCTGGTAGTACCCAAGAAATATCAGCTGGAGATTCTGCGAATCAGGCATGATGTCCCCCTAGCAGGACATCTAGGAATACACCGCACGGCCCATTGGATTATCCAGAATTTCTTCTGGCCCAGTTTTAATAGGGACATGCGACAGTATTGCAGGACTTGTGACACATGTCAACGGGTAGGAAAGCGGGGGGACCACCCTAAGGCCAGACTAATGTCAATGCCTTATTGAGAAGCCTTTTTACCACATAGCCGTTGACATTGTGGGTCCCTTAGCCAGACCTAGTCCATCCGGGAAGAAGTACATTCTTATCATGGTGGACTATGCCACACATTACCCAGAGGCAGTAGCACTGTCCAATATTGGCAGAAACTGTAGAGGTATGCACATGCAAAATCCTGGAAGCCATCGAGTAGCCTTTCCACCATACGTTGGAAGGTAGCTGGGGCATTTTTCATCCCGAATGGCATGACCCAAAACCGGTACAGGCCAAACACGGTGAAAAATGCAGACTTGGGGAAAGCCTCCTCGGCAAGGGGAATCTGCCAATAGCCTTTACACAGGGCATCTGGTAGGCGTCAGTGGTGGTCTTTTCATTGAGTCGCCTTTAGTCCACATTTAGTCCACACAAAATTGGGTGGTTCCATCCTTCTTAGGTACAAGGACTACAGGTGAGGCCCAGGGGCTGTCAGAATGCTCATTGACAGGAGTTATCTCCTGTATCTCCTTCTGCATTCCTTCCAGAACCAAAACAAGGTAGAGGCGGTAGGCAACTGGCCCATTCCTCACACTAAGACCCAGGGACTAGCCTTCATAAGGACTGCATGGTATTATATAAGTTTTGTCCCTGACTATAGCACTATAGCCAAGCCCTTGACTGACCTGACAAAGAAGAATTTGTATGGCTAATCAGGGCCAAAGAAGCATTTGTGACAAAGAAGCATTCGTATGCTCCTAGGCAGGTCCTGTGGTCTCCAGCTTGTGAAGCTGCGTTTCAAGCCTTCAGGCAAGCCCTTGGCTGCCCCAGTACCTAATAAACGTTTCCTTGTCCACTGGGGGCCAGTGCTGAGCCAAGACGGGGAGGATGGAGGCAAACAGACGTCTCACCAGCTACCTAGCACCCTGTCACATATCTCAGCAGAAAGCTACTACCCAGAGAAGTCAGTTATGCGACAGTAGAGAAAGAATGTTTGGCCCTGGTCTGGACCCTTATGAAACTTACTCCCTATCTCTATGGACAAGAATTTTCCCTGGTCACCAACCACAACCCATTGGTATAGCTTAACTGGGTCGCAGGAGACAATGGTAGGTTGCTACGGTGGAGCTTAGCCCTGCAACCCTATAACTTCACCATCAGCTACCGACCCGGTAAGCAAAATGGCAATGCCGATAGGTTGTCCAGGCAAACAGACGTCTCTCCAGCTACCTAGTTCCGGACATCCCCAAGTTGACCCGAGACGGATCAAGCCGGGTCTGCCGGAGTGTCCCACAAAGAGGGAGCCATGTGGCAGACCTCTCTGCCTCTGGATTGTTATTTGAGACTATTTAATCTGTTTGTTTGCCAGTCCTCGGTTGTTTGTGTGTTCCCTGGTTGCATTCTATCAAAGACGAACAAACTACTGAATGGCGGGCCACCCAGCAGGGAAGGGTGCTGCTCTTGAGCCTTTTTGACCTTATTAACACTGTGGTTAACCGCAGCCACTTCCAACTTCCAAACGGTCGACTTGGTGGTCGTTCGTATGAACGAACAAGTAGCGGCGGCCATCTTGGACAGTCGAACTTCAGCAGTGTTCGTCGACAAATACATGGAACTAATTTCGGATACTGCTTCCCACAAACACCGCTGAGATCACCAACCATCCATCTCATCGTTCCAGTTCATACGAGCACCGTGCTGTTCAGGATATTGACAATCCACGAACGGAACTGTCCCAGATAGCTAAACCCATGGAGCCCATTCTTTCTGCCGAACGCACAATGAACACACTTTTAACTCCATGGCGATTTGACTGTATGTATGGGATCTGAGCGCTGTTTGGTTATATTGAGAACTCAGATCCAAACTATCTGAGGATATGTCGAACGTTGAGGTTCCGTTCGGTAAAATAAGACTTTTGTATTTTTATGTGTTTTTTTTTTCCGTGTAGCGGAGAGCTGATTTTCCACAGCTGAACTCCACCAATCTATTAAGAGGATGCAGGAACAAGTAATAAATCCAAGAAAATATCCAGTACAATCAGCAATACAATCCAATAGTATCACATCACCTTTCCCAATCACTGGACGACACACAGTATCAGGAGTAGAACTGAAGTTTAATGGCAACATTCCTGCTTTTATGAGATTCTCCCATGCAAGGGAGGGATTCACTACAATTAGTAGAGTAACCAATCCCGTAGATATTACCTTCCACACATCTCCTCCCCTTAGATTAGCAATTAACACAAGGCATACTTTTCCCCACTTTTTAGATGTACCCCAAATATGGGTGATATACCCTGTAACAAAATCCCCTATTGAACAGACTATGCGAACCAGCCTGTTCGGTTATTTAGATGTGTATAGAGTGATTTTGTGCAAATAGCGAGAAAAACTAATGAACTGCCGAACCACCCGACCTCCTACTGAGGTCGTGTGGCACCTATTAACCACCCAGACTTTGTGGTTAACCACAGACTAATTGGGGAATAGCTTGGTGGTCCGCGTTCGTCTACCGAACACGTGGCAATCGCCATTTTGGATTGTCGAACGCTCAGCGGTAAATGGCGGCGATGCCCTGGAACTAATTTCGGATACTTATTTTGCTGAACACCGCTGATACCTCTCCAGGTCCTCGTTCATACGGAGGAAAACACACGAATGCCGGAGACCCTGCACCATTCGTGCGTTGGATGTATGCAAAAGTGACCGACACCAGATAGCTACAGTATTGAACTTGTTGTCGGATACAAACACGCGAACGGCGGGTGAAAGTCAAACTTCAGTCGACATTTTTGAGAACTGTGTTCGTGGGATCTGAGCGCTATTCTCCTAGAATATGCACTCAGATCCAAGCTATCTGGGGGTATGTGGGACTTAAAGTTTATGTTATGTAAAATGTAAGTTATAGATTTTTATGCTGTTTGATGAATAAAAAGAAAAGCCATGTTTCTTTCTACCTGGAGATAATTAAGGCTCTCTTTGCTACCTTAAGTTAATTATCTCCAGGATGGAAAGGAGGGAGTGAACTATGTAAAAGGGGAGTGCTTATGTTATAGCCACTGTGATACCCCCCAAGACTTTGAGCAAGCCCAGCGGGAGGATCCCACACTAAGAGGGTATCGGAGGGAGGCAGACCAGCCTCAGGGAGACGGAGATCAGGCAAGATTTACCTGGGAAAAGGGGTTACCGGGTGACCGGGGGAACAGAGAGAGGCGCGGGCCAGGTAGAAAAATGACAGTTAATCGTACCCCGTAAGTATCGGGCGGAATTATTGCGGATTAGCCATGATATTCCCCTAGCAGGGCATTTAGGCATAAAAAAGACTAGAGACCGACTCACCCAGTCATTTTTCTGGCCAGGGGTCACTAGAGAGTTGCAGGACTATTGTAGGACCTGTGAGGTATGCCAAAAGGTTTGCTCACCCCCGAGCAAAACTACGTCCCCTACCCATTATCAAGGAGCCATTTTTCCGGGTAGCTGTCGATTTAGTCCGGCCACTCAGCAAGCCCAGTCCATCAGGAAAGAAATACATTCTTACTGTGGTGGACTACGCTACCCGCTATCCGGAAGCCATAGCTCTGTCAAATATACATGCAGAGACGGTAGCGGAAGCACTGGTTCAGGTGTTCACTAGGGTGGGATTTCCTAGGGAGATAGTGTCAGATCAGGGAACCCAATTCACAGCGGTGGTTACCCAACAGCTCTGGCAGAGCTGTGGGGTAAAACCCACATTAAGTTCCCACTATCACCCCCAAACCAATGGCCTCTGTGAACATTTTAACGGCACCCTTAAGCAAATGCTCATCACGTTCACAGAGACCTGTCGGAATTGGGAAAAGTTCCTTCCCCATTTGCTCCTTGCCTATAGGGAAGTTCCCCAGGAGTCCACCGGATTCTCCCCATTTGAACTACTATACGGGAGACAGATTCGGGGAACCCTAGATCTAGTACGGGAACATTGGGAAGACGATATGGAACAAGCAGGTACCACTATAGTCCCCTTTGTACTAGAATTGAGGGACCGTCTGCAGGCTCTGACCGAAACGGTTCGGGAGGAACTGCGGGCAGCCCAACAACGGCAGAAGTACTGGTACGACAAGGGAGCTAGAGACTGTATATTAGAAGTAGGACAAAAGGTCCTAATGCTTAAGCCCATTAAGACTGATAAGTTACAAGCATCATGGCAGGGCCCCTACACTGTAATAGAGCGGATCAGTGATACCACGTACATCGTGGCAGACTGTTCTGATGGAAGGATCCGGCAGTCTTTCCATGTAAATATGCTCAAGCCATATCTCGAGAGAACAGAGGAGGTCTCCGCAGTATGCTCTCCAGTGTATGAGGATAGTGATCCCTTTACCGGATATGCTTCCCCAAGAACCTACAGGGGTAGAACAGGTAGAGTTGGGCCCCGAATTAAGTCCCGAGGAGCAAGCTCAGGCTTCCCAACTGTTAAAGGAGTTTGGGGGCATGTTTTCAGCAGCCCCAGGGTATACGACCCTGGCAGTCCACAGAGTGGAGACTCCAGGCCAGTTACCCCTGCGGCAGCAGCCCTACCGAATCCCCGAAGCAGTACGGGCAAGCATGGTAAAGGAAATCCAGGACATGTTAGAACTGGGGGTCATAGAGCCGTCTCAAAGCCCGTGGGCTTCCCCAGTAGTCCTGGTTCCTAAGAAAGACGGAACCACCAGGTTCTGTGTGGACTACCGCAAACTAAACGATCGGACAGTTACCGACGCATACCCCATGCCCAGCTGGGAATTATTTGACCACTATTGATTTGTGTAAGGGATATTGGCAAATCCCCTTGGAGCCTGGGGCCATTCCAAAATCGGCATTTGTCACCCCATTTGGCCTATATCAGTTTAAGGTTATGCCATTTGGGATGAAGAATGACCCAGCTACGTTCCAAAGGATGGCGGACCGGCTCCTAGAGGGATTTCAGGGCTTCGCTTGTGCTTACCTGGACGATATAGTGGCACTTGGGAAGCCCACCTGGAACACATCTCAGTAGTGCTCAACCGAATTCAGAACGCAGGGCTCACCTTGAAGCCTGAGAAATGCCACGTAGGCATGGCTGAAGTCCAATATTTAGGCCACAGAGTAGGGTCAGGAAAAAGGAGACCAGAGCCAGCTAAGATTGAGGCCATCACCCACTGGCCCCAACCCCGGACTAAAACGCAGGTCATGGCGTTCTTGGGCACCGCAGGTTATTATAGGAAATTTGTAGCTGAATACAGTGCCCTACCCAAACCCCTGACAGACCTCACCAAAAAATCCCTACCCCGACAAGTAGTCTGGTCCTCTGAGTGTGAGGAAGCTTTCCAGAAACTCAAGGCTGCGTTAAGTGCATCTCCTGTGTTGGCGGCACCTGATCATACTAAAAGGTTTCTCGTTCACACAGATGCCTCAATGTTTCGACTTGGAGCATTATTGAGCTAGATGGGAGACGATTGCATGGATCACCCGGTGGCGTATCTGAGCAGGAAATTGTTACCACGCGAAGTCAGTTATGCCACCGTTGAAAAAGAGTGTCTGGCATTAGTTTGGGCGCTCAAAAAGCTACAACCCTACCTGTTTGGACGTTCCTTCACGGTGATGACTGACCACAACGCTTTGATTTGGCTTAATAGAGTAGCTGGCGATAACCCCAGGCTACTCAGATGGAGCTTGGCACTGCAACCCTACAATTTGACAATGCAGTATCGCCCCGGGAAGCAGAATTCCAATGCAGATGGCCTGTCGCGGCAAACTGAACTGGAAAAGTAACAATTTTTTTTGCCGGACATCCCTTAGCCGACCCGTTAGGATCTAAGCAGGTATGCCGTTCCATGGGACTAAGGGGGAGCTGTGTAACAAAATCCCCTATTGAACAGACTATGCGAACCAGCCTGTTCGGTTATTTAGATGTGTATAGAGTGATTTCGTGCAAATAGCGAGAAAATCTAATGAACTGCTGAACCACCCGACCTCCTACTGAGGTCATGTGGCGCCTATTAACCACCCAGACTTTGCGGTTAACCACAGACTAATTGGGGAATAGCTTGGTGGTCAGCGTTCATCTACCGAACAAGTGGCAATCGCCATTTTGGATTGTTGAAGCTCAGCGGTAAATGGCGGCGATGCCCTGGAACTAATTTCGGATACTTATTTTGCCGAACACCGCTGCTACCTCTCCAGGTCCTCGTTCATACGGTGGAAAACACACGAATGACGGAGACCCTGCACCATTTGTGCGTTGGATGTATGCGAAAGAATGCGACCCCAGATAGCTACAGTATGGAACTTGTTGTCGGATACAAACACGCGAACGGCGGGTGAAAGTCAAACTTCAGTCGACGTTTTTGAGAACTGTGTTCGTGGGATCTGAGTGCTATTTGCCTAGAATATGCACTCAGATCCAAGCTATCTGGGGGTATGTGGGACTTAAAGTTTATGTTATGTAAAATGTAAGTTATAGATTTTTATGCTGTTTGATGAATAATAAGAAAAGCCATGTTTCTTTCTACCTGGAGATAATTAAGGCTCTCTTTGCTACCTTAAGTTAATTATCGCCAGGATGGAAAGGAGGGAGTGAACTATGTAAAAGAGGAGTGCTTATGTTATAGCTACTGTGATTTGCTACTGTAATTCTTTTGTCCCAGTCTTCCATCTGGTCCCCTAGGGGAGTGTCCACCAGGTGGGAGACCTGCATAAATACCGGGCAGGTAGCCCACAGTAAATCAGATCGTTTTACCCCTTCATGAAGTCTCGACTCATGTTTGGGGGATTGGGAGTTATAATCACTTCGTATATAGCAGTGTGTTCGTATGTACAAGGTAAAATGAAAAGCAATCAGGGAGGTAAATTACATTCATTCTTCACATAAGGGTGGTCTGGTTGTTCGGTACTTTTGTTCGTATAGTGAATTTAGTCGTTCACATGCAAGCTGATATTCTTATACCGAATAAAGTATGGCCACATATAGTTACATGTAATTCTGTGTACTCCAGGCACAGGAAAACCTCTGCAGTGCCAACAATAAATGAAATGGATGGGACAGCCAAAAAGGGGTTCTGCCGTTATTGTAAAATGAGGATTTTCTCTATACCTGGAGGTAATTGAGTTACTTCAGGGCTCTTAACCGAATTATCTCCAGGATAGAGAGGAGGAGTTGCACTGTTTGTGTGGGAGTGTTTTCATACTGTAAATGCATATGATTGGTTACTGTAAAAATTTCTCAGTCTTTCACAAGGTCCCTATGGGAGTGTCCCTAGCTGGAAGACCTGCATAAAAGACTGACATGTGGCCACCATTAAACAGATCCTGCTTGACTCTCAACACAGAGCCTTGTCTCGTGTTTGGGGGGATAATTCGTATGATTCCTGTTCGGCGCTTAGGAGTGTTCGGTAGCTGACTTTGGATTCGGGGAAAAGAACAACCTTGGCGGCGTTAACCCCTTCTTATACCCGGGGTGCTGTTACAATACCTATTTATCCACCTATTTCTGTCTATTTATCTATTTCTATCTATATCTACCCATCTACTTCTATCTATCTATCTATCTATCTATATCCACCTATTTCTATACATATCTATCGATATCTATCTATTTCTATCTATCTATCTATCTATATATATATATATATATTGTAACGGATCACCTGGCACCCCGACTGGGCACCTCTGCCAACAGATGCTTCCTTGCTGACGCCGAGGACCATAAGCACCGCACAGGGACAAGCCACCAGGGCACAACTCTTACTTAACATAATAAAAATAAAAAAAAAGTACAAAGGTAAAAGTCAAGACAACAGAGACCCCAAGGCAAACAAAACCACGTAAAAACTGCTAACATCTGCACCTGCAGAACACATCTGAAGGAACAGTGGGCACCTGTCCAACGTTTCTCACAATGGACCCACTTCCCTTAAAGCCCAAACCAAAGTCAGAATCAAAACACAAGGAAGGTAGCAGCTAGAAATGTCAAAAGGCAGGTCAGGTGACTGTAGGTATAAGGATACCCTACATACACCATAGCGGCAGCTCTCAACAGCAGCCGAAGGGAAGGTACACCCCAAACGACTAAAGTAATGTATGATAACCGACACAGGCTGGTATAGACGGATATCCTTAAAATAGACCCCAAGCGAGAACCAATCAACAATGAACACCTGGGCCCTCTAGGGAAAGCCTGACCAGGGGCAAGGCTCACAGCCCACAAAGGAGCCCCGGCAGGGGGTCCACTGGGGATGCCTGGAGGAAGGGGCCCGCACCTCAAGACTGGTCAGAACACCACTGTCCCGACGTTGGCCAGCCCCTGTGTCCTACATAGTACTGGTTTATGAAAACACAATATGTAACTAAACAAAGCACTCCTTGTCGACACGTTGTATGTTTAACTGTCTATGTTATTGTGACAAAGTGCCCTTCACCACTTGTGCCTGGAAAGGACTAATTACCAGCCTGTTGCCATATGACTATGGTCCCTGGGAGATTTTTCCAGTTAGTACCACCATTTGGACTTATTGATATTTTAAAAGACTGTTCTGGCCCTTTAAATGGTACTGGCACAGTTCTGCAACCAATACATGTCATATTTTCAAACACTGACTGAACTTAACTGTCATTTTGTTTTCCTCTGAGGAGGAGTTGTTTTGCTGCATGAGTGCTGTTGCTTTTGTGTGCTCATTAAACAGTCTTGCTTGACCCTTCCTTGAAGCCTTGGCTCATGCTTGGGGGATGGGATAAGTCTGCAGTGCTGTCATTTGGAGTGCTTGGAGTCCTCGGTAAGCACTAGGAGCATTGATTGGCAGAGGTACTCGGTCGGAGTGCCAGCGGGTCCGTCAAGTTATGTTTACCAAAGATGGAACGTTGACGTTTGACGGCAATCCTAACTATATGATGTGTTAACATGTAACAATGTTTCCTTTCTGTAACATGAACCATATGTATTTACCGTTCCTCGACCTATGTACGAGCCGAATGCAATGGATGTGCCGCTTTACATGTCAGGAAAAAAATAAAGAATTAAAAATAAATAAATAATATTAATGGAAGACATTTTTAAAGGTGTACGAAAAAAAATCTATATTTTCTCCTTGATTAGAAAAGCAACAAAACAACATATATGCTTTTAAAAAACACTTTTTAAAACCTTGTACAAAGTTAAAAAAATGCTTCCAGGCTTGGTTTTATATTCTTTTCAGTTTCACATGTTAACATTTTAAGACAGTGAATTGGTTAGAGGAATGACAAAGACGTCATTGTACTGTGGCAAGGATTCTGTTACTGTCTGTTGAGCCTTCTTTTGTCTCATTAGTTTGAATCCCTTTTCATGTTCTATTTGGTGTATAAGGGAGGGTGTGGGGGAGTAGGAATGAGGGTCAGATGGGATATTCTAATTTGGTAGGATGATATGGTTACACAAAATGAACTATCAGTGAGAAAAAAACAACTTTTAAATTGCAATGAATTGTGCCTGTTAAGGACTATAACATGTGAACAGTTTATACTCTATAACAAGGAAACAGTGACATAAAGCGTAATTAAACATGGAATGAATATAAACAGTATACAAACTAGACAAAAGAATACTTGCTACTTTTTCAATGTAATGGGCTGCCTCATGATTCTCATTACAGAATCTGGTTTCTATGACAATGTAAAACCTTGTGTCTATCACCCTCACATTACATCTCTGTTGTCCAGTCCCAAATCCTTAGCTCTTACACACTAACACAGTCAAGAGAGAACAAAGAGTCCTCTCTTTCTTGGGGGGAAAAAAACAAGCAAATTGTGTAGAAGTGAGAATTCTTAACTCATTATTACCCTGGGACTTTATTTCTTTAATCACTGTATACACGTCAGTGCAGAATTCTATAAAGAGTCAAACCATCAAATATTTTTTATTATTTTGTTACCCAAACAAAACATATTCATTGATGCTTTGTTTTTTCTCGAACAGTTTATGTACAGTGAATTCTTTAGGAATAGCTTTATTATTATGAGAAGTTGCAATACACAACATTGCAAGTTCGTTAGTAACATCTGCAACATTACTTATTTCTCAATTTTGTTCCATTGTTTTTTTTTAGAGAAACACTATAGTGTCAGGAATACAAACATGTATTCTTGACATTTTAGCTTTAAAACCGCTGTTTAGGTGCTGGCACCCCTTGCCCTCCATTAAAAAGTGATTATACTCACCTTATTTCAAGTTCCGGTTTCATTGCAGCTGGCCTCGCTCTGCTCCACCTCCTTGGCAAAATTTGATGATCTCAGACAATCCAAAGCTTTCCAATGCTGCTCCAATCAGCATCTTTATGCATCTCCAATGCATCTCTATGGGGAGCATGCAGAGCGTGGAGAAGCTGAACGTCAGTGCTGAATGTTGTGCAGCACGAACCCTGTACACACATTTAATGGTCATCTGAGTGACTGCCAACAGAAGTGTTTCTAGGCAGTGTATTCAAAAAGCCTACAGGCACAGGCTGTAGAAACTAAACTAGAGAGACATAATTCTGTGTTTTTAATTCTGATGCATATACCTACTATAAAGACTTTAACAAAGAAACTTTTGTGTTGCCTAGAATGGCTATAGTATTTGGACACATGGCCTGTTGGTTAAGTGCTCAAAATCAACTCAAGGGCATGAGGACTAGTAGTACTCTAAACTTTCAGTTTTTATAGACAGGGGCCAACTGTAAGCATTAGTGCATTATACATTAGTACATTGGGCAGCTGGAAAGGAATTGATGGAATCATTGTAGCGGACCACGGGTAACTCGACTGGTTACCTCTGCTAATTTATTCCCTCAGCCACTCTGGAACCACTTAAAGTATCAACACCACCATTCCCATAGTAACTGGATGACATAAAGCTCTAGGAGTACAACACGGTTTTATTGTGCCACACACGGCTTTTATGCATATCCCCCTGCAAGGGGTCTTCCACACAAAATGACAGGGGTCCTCATCCCAGGATCCTCTGTGCCTGGGAGTCAAGGTGCTGGAAAGAGAACCTAGACTCTTTGTATCCCAAGTACAGGAAGCCAGCCAAAATAGTCAGTGCCCCAAAAGTGTCCCTACCAACCTCAGGAACCCCCACAAGAGTACATTTACCAGATCGGTCTCTGTTCGTGAGGTTCCTGTGCAAAAACCATGCAAGGGAAGTTTCTCCTTTCAGGATACGAATGCTACCACTGGTTGGAGTTCGTCTATACGAAATGGCGGCCATTCAAGGGAGCACTCATTAACTACTTCCCTTGCAGTTTCGCACTTATGTTATTGGTGTGATCATTCTAATGGGGCCTTCCCTCAAACATGTAAGTTGCTTCTAATCCTTCTCATTACTAAAAGGAAATATCTTGGAAGGCTTAGTTTATAGTTATAGTTTATCATACAGATAAAATCACTCAATCCAACAACTAACACTGCATGGCATAATAACCCTTTTGTTGCCATTAATTTGCAACATATCTTATTCTCTCTAATGATGCAATAGCTTGGATTTCTGCAGTGAAATTGTGGACAGGATTCAGTCACATATATATTACATTGTGTATGTAGCAGGGAATAGAAGTCTGGCCTCCTTTGAAAAATTATGATCTGCGTCCTCTGAGACACAGACCTATCTATTCATCTACCTGTCTGTCTAAAACAACCAACCCACCACTATTTATAAAATTTACCCATCATCTATTTATAACATCCATCAGCTCATCTATCCATCTTACATTAAAAAATAAAATAAAAAAGCCTTAACTTTAATGTAACTGTGTCTGATGCCAACTCAAAGCAAGGGTTTGCAGTCTTTGTACTGAGCTCTCACCACACAGGAAAAAACAAAAACTAATTTTGGCCTTATTTATTAGTTTTGTATTTACCTCTGCTCATAGATATTCCCTATGCTTTTGAACAGCAATTAATTAAACAAAATTGTAAATTAAACTATTGTGCCCAATAACAGAAGCTGCTGCATGGTTTCTATTACCATCCTGAATATCTCCATTCATGGTTTTCCAATAATGGAGCTTGTGGTAGTCACAACAGAGGTTACATTTTAGAAAGGTATAATGGAGCTAGCAAGAGACATAGATTTGCAGAAAGTTTCTTATTGTTGCAGTGATGCTCCTGCAGTGATTGCATAGTGCACCTTTTCACTTTACCTAGACTGCTATGGTTCTTAAAGTCCCCTTAATTATATGTCGCCAATACGTTTATGTAACCTTGTAGTTTGGTTTCCTTTGTGTGTTTACTCCATAATTTGTTCTCTGTAATCTTGTTCTCCTTGTTTGCTCAATAATGAATGAATTGTTATTCAGTCTAACATGATTTATCCTCTAAGTATTTTACCTAAATATATTGACTGTAACTGCAACTCAATGACTGTATCAAAATGGCAAATAAATGTGAGCACTGTTACATTGTGATGGTCTCACAGTCACAGTAACAGCCAGAGTAATGTGGATTGTCAAGGAGCCAAATCAATGTGTGAACAGTGAGTTAAAGTGTAGGGTTTGAAGGCATTCAGTTTTAAGCATGTGCGTGCATGTTTGTGTGTATGAGTGCAGTTGTGTTTGTGTGTATGCAAAGGTACATACAAGTGTTGCAAATGTGTTATTCTGAATGTATTTTTTTAGTTTGCCATTACTAATTAAGTGTATACTCCCCTGTGCTCCCTGTAGAAATTCCCTCCTAAATTTTCTTCTCTGTATCTTTTTCCCATCTCAAATCTCTCTGCTCCACCAGCCACAATATTTAAATTAGTATTGATTTCATTTTTTTAGAAATGCACCAAGGAATATCCATCTGACCTACCTTACTGTATAGTAAAGCCAAGCACAACTAGTTTCTTTATGAAGAAGCACCTACTCTTTTACCTCCACCCAGCCATCTCAACAATGAGGCTCCAGTGACTTATGGCTGTTTTAGGGGAGGGTAGGGAGGCACATAAAATGTCATAATGCTCTACTTTGTTTGCCAATTCTGGGCTACCAAGCACAGAGAGTTGGGCAGAGATAAAAGGAAAGTTAATTCAAGATTAAGAGCTTGGCTACACACACACACACACACACACACACACACATATATATATATATATATATATATATATATATATATATATATATACACACATACATATATAAATACTGAATAAAATTATAAATGCAACACGTGTTTTGCCCCCATTTTTCATGAGCTGAACTCAAAGATCTAAGACTTTTTCTATGTACACAAAAGGCCCATTTCTCTCAAATATTGTTCTCAAATCTGTCTAAATCTGGGTTTTAAAATGTGCACATTTTAAAGTTTCCTTTTATTGTGGCCAGCCTAAGGCACACCATTGCAATAATCATGCTGTCTAATCAGCATCTTGATATGCCACACCTATGAGGTGGATGGATTATCTTGGCAAAGGAGAAGTGCTCATTAACACAGATTTAGACAGATTTGTGAACAATATTTGAGAGAAATAGGCCTTTTGTGTACATAGAAAAAGTCTTAGATCTTTGAGTTCAGCTCATGAAAAATGGGGGCAAAACCAAAAGTGTTCCATTTATAATGTTGTTCAGTGTATACATACACCCACAAACACACATACACATATAGAAACTCTCCATTTTGCCTTAGCAAGGTGTTCCAAGTGGTAGGTCTGACTCCTTAATGCAGATCAAATGAGTTTTTGGCTCCTCTTCAGTCTTTTTCACCTCTTTTCCAGGAAGCTGCATAGTATCTGGATTAATTCTTTCTTCACAGCAACAGCAGCAGCAGTCCAGGAATGCCTGTCCTAAGGGTTTGGAGAGACAAAGGAGCAAAACTGGAGTCACTGCACACTTCAGAAACAAAAAGAACTGAGTTATCAGTGTCAGAAGATCCCTTGGTATTTCCAGGCTTGTGTAGGTGACCAGGACATTGGTGATATTTTCTGGCAGAGTGCATACTCCATACACAATTCCGAGAATGACCACCATCCAACTGAGCTGTCGCTGGCACTGTCCATATTTGTTGTCTTTTGTGGTACCTATAATCCGAAGGGTGACTAGCACGGAAATCACAGTGAAGAGAAGAGGAAGGCAGAAGTAGCATCCCAAGAACCACCACATACGAGCATGTTGATAGGTGAGTACCAGGGAATGTAAAACTGGTGGCAGATTGGGAGCTGGTTGCATGACACAGAATTCACTCACCAAACCTGAGACAGGGGAGCGCTCTTGCATAAGCTGCCAGAGCAAGATCTCAGGAAGTGCAAGTGTTAAAGACCCTAACCAAATAACAGATAACTTGCCCAGGATGGATTGACATCTTTCAACTGGCCTTGGTGAAGTCAGAGGAGAGGTTATTGATTGGAAGCGATCAATGCCCAATGCACACAGAGAGAAAGTTGAAACACCAAGAGAGGAAACCTGCACAGAAAAAATATGTTTGTGAGAACATCTTTGGTGGCATTTTAAACTTTCCATTTTTCAAACTGAAATCCTTTTTTTCCTTCAAAATTAGGTGAGACATTTCCATTCACTTTCCATTTACAGCAAATAGAAATACATTGATAGTTTCCATTTTTTCATATGAAAACATTTATCATTTATCTGTTTTTAAGTGAGTACCAATTTGTTCTGTAGCACTGTGACAAGGGTAATGCGAAAAAATTTGAGTAAAATGTTTTTTGTGGTGAGTACACAATCATGTTTCTGCCAACGTAGCTTTTTGATGTTGAATCTTTTACTGCATCCCTATTGTCCGTTCTGAGCTAGAATTTCAGCTAGCAGTGTTCTTCCCTATACATCTGTGTTTATGGAGCCACTTCCCCCTTATTACAGCTGCGTCATGTCTCCTAGCTCATGACAGCAATAGCAGGTGCAATCCTGCCTCAACTTTTCAATCATGTCTAGATTATGTCTGAATTATAAGTGACTTTTGCACTCATTACACATATGTCCTTTTTTATAATTACAGGAGAGGTTTTTAGCTCTAGTATAAAAAATATACACAGTACATTTTTCTAGTCTTATTAGAAAGAATAATCTAGCTACATTTTTCAGCAAGACAAAGTAGCTTCCAAACAAAATAGCTTTTTGCCAATTATCGGAACATGTAAGATGACAGCTAAAAATACAAGTCTGTAAAAGATACAAATAAGAAAAGAAAAAAAAAACAGCAAACATCTGGCTATTTGTCTGTCTGTCTCACATAGATAAAAAAAATACCATTAGTAATCAATTACCTCCATATAATGTACAATTCGGCAGGACATTACCCCAAACAGCCTTTGACGAGTGATCTCCTGGAAAACTACTACTGGCAAACAAAAGAAGAGTAGAAGGAAGTCCCAAAGTGCCAACCCAGCCAGGATGGAGTCCCAGGCACTTTTTAGATACAAACTGTGCCACACAATACACATAACTGACAGGTTGCCAATGATGCCTACTGCAAATACCACCAAAGACAGCAACAATATTCCGTAGGCAGTGAGTGAACTTTCACCTAGTGGATAGAGAGGATTCTGGAGTTGGGGACGCCAGGTGGATGACAGAGAGGAACCATTCTGAACTTGGTTTTGTTCAGATGTCCTGCTTGGAGTTGGATGGATTAGTCGGGGATACACTATATCCTTTTTGGTGCTTTCGTCCAGTGAACCTCTTTTTGTTCGATGCTTCACTAATTCATCCATCAACTCGTCAACTTTTACCAGTTCTGCCTCACTTTTCAGTTGTCCAATTCGATGAAGGTCTGTACCAGAATTGGTAGCATGCATTTTGTTTGTTACAAGACAACCAAGAAGCCCTAGTAAGGATCCCAGTATTACTCTTGAAACCCTCATAATTCCAAAATAGCTTGCTTTTTTTGCTGAAGACAGAAGTGTGGGGAATATGGAGTGTAAAAGAAAGGAGATGATATCAGGGAAAAAGAGAGATTGCCAGCTGCAGTATAACACAATGTAGCTCTGATTCCTTTCTGAATGCTTTACAGTGTCTCCAACAGAATTTGCCAAACCTCCCTCTTCTTCCATACTTGCACGTGTTGTGAGTATCTGCACTCTGTCATCTACTGCTTCCTAGTGGAAACTGAGAAAATTGCTGCCTAACTTTTCATTTAATGACATATCTAATTTACTAAATGTAGATTGTGTTTTATCCCCTTAAGGATGGAGGCAGTTTATATGTTCTAATCAAAATAAAATGTAAACAAATCCTAGAATTTGAGCTATATGTCTGTTCAACCATAATTTGCCTCTCTCGTATGAAGTGTACTATAACGGATCACCTGGCACCCGGACTGGGTACCTCCGTTGATGGATGCTCCTAGCGCTTCCTGAGGGCTCCAAGCACTCCAGCCGACAACATAACCACCGTAGGCTCCTTTACAAGATCTTAGTAGTGATATAGCAAGAGAGTATGACTTGCATAGCAATCCCTTGTAGCATACTCCCCCAATAAGAGACAGCACTCCAAATTGAGGGTGAAGTAGAACTCAAGCTTTAATCCAACACTCTGCTTTTATGCACATTTTACACACATAGTACTGCCCACAGGGTTTTGCAGAACAACCAATCAATATGTACAATACACTCAGACACTCCCAGCAATTACATACACAATCCTCCCCTCTGCCTGTGATATAATTACTGAACACAATGGGCTAACATAATTATCAGAGACAGGAAAATACACAATTTTATACAATATTCATAACTTTAAAAGTATACATCACATTCACATAAAACTCTCTTTTTGACCAACTGCAAGCATGGCTTGGGTGTGGTAAGTCAATTATCTCCAGCATACAGAAAATATCTCCATTTGCAACAACAGTAAAAACACATAAAAATACATAATTCCTATCATACTGAACAGAACCCCCACATTCAGCCTATCCCCAGATAGCTTGGATCTGAGCACTCAATATATCCGAACAGTGCTCAGATCCCACGAACAGAATAAAATCGCCATGGGGTTTAAGTTTAGGTTAGGTTGGACTGGAACTGCACGACTGTGCACGAATGGCTCCGTTTGACTATTTGAATGTGACTTCGACTGTTTGAAATGGACCGGCTGCACAGCCTAATTCTCTGGAACTATTTTGGGCATGAAGCCATGCGTGCAGTCGGTCAAAAATAGACTTCCAACTAACTTTTGAACCCCTAAAACCGACCTGGGTGATTTTTAAGTATGTTGTTCTCACAGATCAGGGCTATCAGAGATGTGACTTTTATGGGGATATGTTGTGTTTTGGGGTACTTATTGGACTTTGTAAAAATGGGTGTTTTTGCTGCATGGGGTTAATTAAGTTAATGCATTATCTGCCTTAATTATAACACAGACAGAGGCGAGGGATTGTGTACTGTATGTGGGAGGCCATTGTCTCTTATAGGGGGAAACTGCTATATCACTACAAGGGATTGCTATAATCACTATACTCCCTTGGATTCCCTGAGCTCTTGTAAGAGTTATTCCTGGAACATGGAGCCTTGTCGTAGGTCCAGGGTGGGAAGGAGACGGCGAGACCCCAACAAAGCTGCAGTGGTTGTGGGGTCTGCAGTGCTTATGGTGTCTGGAGAAGTGCTCGAATTCCTCTCTGAGCACTAGAAACATCGATTGACGGAGGTACCCAGTCGGAATGCCAGGCAGTCCGTTACATTGACATCATGGCAAACTATTTGCAAAGGTAGAAAACCAGAGGTATTCAAATGGCCAAACTTAATGGGGGTTTTTGGTGCATTTTTCACACAAAAAACAGCACTTTCACTGATGATATACTTGTCATTATACATTTTACTGCTCTAAAAGCTCATATTTGTGTTCAGCAATGTCTTACAAGTAAAACAATTACCCCCAACATACAGGCTTTATGGGGTTCTGGAAAGTTACAGGGTCAAATATAGGGCTTTCCCATTTACATTTTTACACATTGAAATTTGCAAGATTGGTTGCTGAGCCTATGTTGCCTTTGGGGCTGTATGGCAGCCCAGAAATTAAAATTACCTCCATCATGGCATACTGTTACGGTACCCTCAGCATGAAATGTACAAACCGCCGTTTAGTGAATGCTCCCCTTTCGCAATAACATAGGCTGCATGCGTATCCAGTATAATCATGCGAACCGCAAGCAAGGGAATGCTGCAAACTCACGAACGGGATCCGTACGGGCACTTCACTCCACGAGCTCCAAATTCACGAATCGCCAATAATAGCCGAACGCAGGTATCTCCCAAGCGGCTAATAATCCCATCCAGCAGTCTCTAGTCGTCGGTAATAAATCCCCCCAATAACGAGACCAAGCTCCACATTGAGGGTAAAACAAGAACTGGCTTTACTGTGGGCTACCTGCCCTTATTTATGCAGGTCTCCCACTTGGTGGACACTCCCCTAGGGGACCAAATGGGAGACTGTAACAATAGACAGACATATGGCAGGTTAGGACCCACAAACACAGGATATTCCCAGCATGCATTAGTATTTCCTCCCCTCTGCGCTGGAGATAATTGAGAAGTAATTTAATTATCTCCAGGACAGAGGCAAATCGCCATTTTAAATTCAACATAGCAAAACATATAAAAATACATAACTTTACAATTGTCGAATGTTACCCATTCGTATCACATTTCTCCAGATAGCCGGATCTGAGTGCGTATTATTGGCGAATAGCGCTCAGATCCCATACGCATAGCTCAATCGCCATGGAGTCAAAGTCTATTACAGTCTTTCGGTATGCGATTGACTCCATGGGAAGGCTATCTGGGGTAAGTCCATTCGTGCATTTAAACCTCCCGAACGGCCGGTGTTCACACACTTCTGTCGACTGAGAAGGGAGGTCGACGGCTTCAGCGGTGTTCAGCAGAAAAAGTGTCAGTTTTCAGTTCCATGAAATCAATGCCAAACACCGCTGGTCTTTCGCATGGTTTAAAATGGCCGCCGCCTCGTGGTCGACATACGAACGACGACCACCCTGTATTCGGTTTTAATTGAGAAGTGCCTGTGGTTAACCGCAACGTTCTAATTGAGATCAAAAGGTTAACCAGCAGCACACTTCTCTTCTGGGTGGCCGTCCGTTCGGTAGTTTCATTCGGCGGAAAAGTCAATTCACGGAACAGGGGCATACGAATGGGTAATATCATGAAAAGGCAAAACAGACGAATCCAGCCATCTCAGTCTATACAGATGGATCTGTCACACATACCATTCTAAAAGTAGACAACCCAAATGGAGTATGTCCAGTTAATTATACTTGCCACTTTGTTACATATCCTGGACAAAGTTGGTGTTCATTTAGTTTTTTTGCATTGTTCACACAAAAACACTTTCACTGATAATTTAAATATATTGTGGCAGAACCACTGCCTATTCCTGAAGACCTGTCCATATTATGTGTGTTACCCTTGTAATTTGTGTATACTGTGTCCCCTCCCCATTCAGAAGAGCGCCCACGATAATAACTCAATGTCCACCGAACGGAGACCACCCCCGTATCCCATTTAGAATGCAAGTTAGAATGTTCAAATAGAACGTTCTCATCTCGATCATCGGTGCGAGACCTCAATGGAAACCATTAATGAATGCTCCCTTGGGTGGCAGCCCTTTCGTATAGATGAATGCCAACCAGGGGGAGCATTTGTACCCCGAAAGGAGATGATTCCCTTGCAGGTTTCAGCATCGGAGCCTTGCGAACAAAGAGTGGTCGGGGAAGGTGCTCTGGTGGGGACGCCTGAGGTTGGTAGGGACACTTTTGGGGCACTGGCTACTTTTGCAGGCTTTTCTGTGCCTGGGAGACAAAGGGACATTTTATTTTCTTGCATCTTGGCTTACAGACACAGAGGATCATAGGATGAAGACACTTGTCCATTGGGGTGAGAGACCCCATGCATGTGTGGCGGGCTTTCTGCACCTGGGAGACAAAGGGACAACAAACCCCTTTCCCGCACTTTGGCTCACAGGTACAGAGGTCTGGAATATGACCCCTGGTGACTTGAGATCAAAACCCCTTGCACGGGGACATTCATAAAAGTTAAGTGTGGCTCAATAAAATTGTTGTACCTCCGGACCTATGTGTCATCCAGTTACTGGGGGGAAGGAAAAGGGTCTACTGATATTCTGAAATGGTTCCTGAATGGCTGAAGGAAGGGTATTAGTGGAGGTAACCAGCCGGGTTACCCGGGGTCCACTACAACTGGTGGCAAGCGGCGGGATTGCACTTCCCAGCCGAATGGAACCAGCGTTTGTGAGCTGAACAGACCCATGTATTACACAACCTTAAAGATGCAAACACTACAGGATTTGCTGGAAGCCAGAGGGCAATCAGACGGAATTCGAACCAAGGCTGATCTGATTGCCACCCTCATGGAGGACGATCGTCTAAGCTTTGAGGCAGCTGTACCGCAGCGAAAAAGATGACCTCGACAGAGAAATGACGCAGTTCCTGTTCTACTACATAAAAATCCCCTCAGAGGAAACCCTGACCAAGCTCCTCTTAGAGGCAGAAGCCTATATCTTGGATCAGAGGGAGAGGGGGCGAACCCCATACAGCCAGACAAATGACGGGCATGAGAGAGGTCCCCAGGAAGTCCAGCAACCCCTGCATGAAAACCTAAATTGCCCTACGACGCCTTCAAGCATTTCAAGGAAGCAGAAGAGGGCATTGACGACTTCCTGCAGGACTTTGAACGCCCGTGCATCCTACACGAAGTTGCCCACACAGACGGGTCCCCATCTTGGCTGGGAAGCTAGCGGGGAAGGCGGCAGATGAGTACTGGGCCGTACCTGAAGACTAGTTTTGTAAAGCATGTCCTACTAGCCAGGTATGCCGTAACCCCAGAGGCCTACCGCAGGAAGGTCAGGGAGACAAAGCAGGGGGAGATGGACTTCCATGCGGATTGGGCTTGTCGCATAACCCGAGCCACAGAGGACTGGATGAACTCACAGAAGGCATAGTCTCCCGAAAATATCCCCCAGCTGTTTATGCTGGAGCACTTCTACAATGGGCTCCCCACCGAGGTGCAGGAATGGATGAGAGACAGACAGCCCAGCAGGCCTACGAGTATGCAGATACCAGATGACCCCCCGTCCACAGCCTAACCCGGGTACCACCCCAGCGGACAGATCAAAGCTGCTACCAATCTGGTCAGGCCCAACCTGCCCCA